TTGAACTCAGGCCCTTGGCGCTTGCAAGGCAGGTGGCAGAACCACTGAGACAGATCCCTGGCCCTAGCATTTTCTTTTAACTTAGAATCTGTCTAGTAAACACTATAGTGTACCCCTTGAATACAGAATTTCAGTGAGTGAACTTTTTTTTTTCCCCCGATACCTGGGTGCTGTACCAGTGAGCTATGTCCCCAGCCCTATTTAAATTTTATTTTGAGACAAAGTCTTCCTAAGTTGCCAGGCTGGCCTTGAGCTGGTGATCCCCCTGCCTCAGCCTCCTACGTAGCTGGGATTACAGGTATGCACCACTGAGCTCAGCTCAAATAAGCCTTTTTAAAAAATTAAGCACCAAATTAATAATCTTGATTTCCTATCAGGGTAGAATGGGATTGTACCTGATGTGGTTTTTAAAATTAGACTTGGCATAAGTTATACGTGAAGTTTCATTACATTTTTTAGAGCCTTCGGATTAGCATTTATAGGCCTAAACTATTGTATCTTGATTTCCAGGCAATGCTTATAATCAAGAAGAACGTGTCGTTTGTGCTGGCTATGATAATGGGGATATCAAACTGTTTGATCTCAGAAATATGTCATTGCGGTGGGAAACAAACATAAAAAATGGGGTAATGTACATTCTACAGCTGTTTAATCTCTCTGAGCAGGTTTTCCTTCACCTCAAACTACTGCAAAGTTTGAAAAGCACCTCTGGTAACCCATCTCAGTCAGCCATCTGCTAGTGCTTCTTAACATTTTTGGGTTCAAACACCTTTGAGGACTTCATGACAGTCATGTGTCTTTTCTTCAGAAGGTGAACACACACTGAAGATATGGTGTGTGATTCTGGGGAACCCCCAGTCCCAGAGGTCCTTTGGACCCTGTGGGCTATGCAGTGTGACAATAAAATGAGCCAGTAAGAGGCCTCTTTTCTGCTGATATCAGAAAGCCTTAAAGTAGCAGCAGCCTCTCCATGTGCTCTGGGATTATACACCTTTACTGAGGAACTTATTTCCCTCCTATTTTCTTTTTTTTTTTTGGTAACAGGGATTCAATTTGGGACCTTGCACTTGAGAGGCAGGCAGCAGAACCACTGAGCTAAATCCCCAGCCCTCCCTCCTATTTTCTAAAGGTGGCCTTGACTTAACTGTGTAAAATAATGTAAAGACTCACATCTTCGTTTTCTAGATACTTCCACTGAGCATGAGAAATGAAGATGGTTTTGTTGATCCTGTTAGCAGATATTTATTTATGCACTACTGGGAATTGAACTCAGGGCCTTCACACTGATCTGTATCCCCAGCCCTCTTTTAATTTTTTATTTTGAAACTGTCCTGCTGAGTTGCCCAGGCTGGCTCGAACGTGCAGTCCTCCTGCTCAGCTTCCCAAAGTGCTGGGATTACAGGCGTGCACCATCATGCCTGGCAAGGATTTTTCATTTAGAGTAAAAGTACTTAATGTATTGATTCAAAAGATAAAATGATTATTTAAGTGCCTTTACATGATCTTATCATTTTAAATCTGTTTTACCTAGTTTAAAAGAGCCTCCTGAATAATAACAATGAGCTTATCAATAACATATTTTCTGCATTTTCAGGTATGTAGCTTGGAGTTTGACAGAAAAGACATAAGTATGAATAAGTTAGTAGCTACGTCTTTGGAAGGAAAGTTTCATGTTTTTGACATGAGAACACAACATCCTACCAAAGGTTTTGCCTCTGTTTCAGAAAAGGTAAATATGAGGGAAATGTATTTCTATGCAGAGAAATGATAGCTTGTTTTAGACTAATAAATAGAATTAGTCACCAAGGTTCCTCCAGGTCTTTATGTGAAAAGAGCTATTTTTGTTCAATTCTTGTGGGATCTTGACAAGTTTTTTTTATGCAAAGAATACTTTCCCAAAGTTTTATCAATTTAGGTTCCTTGATTATGATAAAGATCTCAGTTAGCTGGGAATCTTATTTTGTGATTTAGGAACATCACAAGTAACCTAACTGATGTTAGGAATTAGATCAACAAAACCTAGCCTGATATTTTCCAATAAATATATAATGTTTTAAAAAATATAACCTAATTGCACACTTTCAGAATATATCAACATATCCATTATGTCATTTCATTTATTTTATTTTTATATTCTAGGTGGCTACGTTAAATGAAATTAAAAATTACTGATTAGGCATTCACAATATTTTATTGTTATAATATTTTGCCTTGCTTTTGCAGTAACTTAGAGGAAGACATGGTGTTCTGGCAATATAAAAATAGACGAAGAAAGGGTATTCTAGCATTATAAAATAGACGAAGGAAGCAAATTGCGGGGGAAATTCTGCTAAAGAAGAAGAAAATACCTCTAATAAAGGGATTACATAAAATTCATGCTGACACATCCTAGCACTTGCCAAGATATGGATTGGAAATGTGACTGAGCTTTCTTGATTATAAAACAAAAAACCAGTTATAGACTGGGAGCTTCCATGAGATTAAAATGTATATGTTCTTTATGAAATAAGAAATCATTACCTCTCCACCCTCCCCACTGTCAATTCTGTAGGATTTCTCAAACCTCTCTATTTGTCTCCTCCTATGGTTACAGTAATTATTATCGTCTATACCTTATTACTTCTGCTGGATGATCTCACTTCTTAACAAAGTAGCTACAAATTATAATTTGTTTTGCCTTTGTCATTTCAGAATATATTAAGTACCTATGCACAACAAACAACACTTGTTTTGTATACAGTTCACTAAATTGTTTTGTATACAATTCATAAAACATTCTTTATGTGCAAACAATAGTGTCCTCTTCAAAATTTGTTTCCTACTACTTAGTTAAGTCAGTAATTGCTGAGTCTGCCAAATAAATGTCTCTGGTATATTTTAAGAGGCTATGTTCTCCCTTATCGCCTTACTTTTTATGTTTTTCTCAACTCCTACAAAAAAAAAAAGTTTAAGCTACAAAACAAATGAAAACGTCTTGGTAGCTTGAACTTAATCTCTTGGGGACTCAGCAAATGTAAAATGTGTATTTTGAGATGTGTGCATTTATCTCGTAATTGGTGCTCTCAAAAGACCATTAAAAGCTGAAGTCAAGACTAATTACTCACTCAACTGTAAGGTGTAAAAGCAGGGCCTAGATGGAGTCAACCAGCTTCACTGCTTCTCCAAAGCAGAGGGAATTGTGTTCCCCTCTGCTCTCCCCCTCACCCCATCTTACTCCACAGGTCCCACACGGCCAAAAAGGCAGGCCAGGATGATTTACTGGCTGTTGCTGAGGTGCTAACAAACTGTTAACCTTCTTCCAGTTGCCATTTAAAAATCTTTGTGTTTAATATGACTGGGAAGAGCCTTATCTTGTTAAGACCATAAACACGATCTATAAATCCTTATGATTGGCATTTTGAAGACTGGACAAGTCAGGAGGCAATAAGTTGAAGTTAAGGCTCTCAGAGCTATTAAGTTAAAATGTATTCTATAAACTATAACTCTGTACTTTCCATCATTTTTACTGGGGATCTAAACCAGTTCTAAAAACTAAAACCTGTTTAAAAAATCAGTCTGTACTTTTTTTTTCCTTAGAAAGATGTATATATTTTTGTATTTTGAGAGTTTCCCCCTCTCAGAATGTACTAGAGAGATTTAAATCTATACAATCTATTTTAATAATTTCTGTGGTTCCATAAACTTAAATGGACTTTTTGATCTAATGTCTTTCTTGTTTGTTTTAATCCAGAAGAACTTTATCCTCTAAAGCAGTAGAGAAAAGTGATGCTTTTTCTAATTTCTGATGCTCTTCTATAAGTCTTTGTAACCATTATAAAGGGATATGCTAGAAACACCCTCAGTTCCTTTTCTGACAGCTAAAGTTATGGCATTGAGAATTCTGTGTAAGCTTCTCTTCCAGGGTACCACACAGCGTATAAACCAGTTGTGTGCCTTTCCTCCTGTTTAGGCTCATAAATCCACTGTGTGGCAAGTCCGACACTTGCCACAGAACAGAGAACTCTTTCTGACAGCTGGAGGTGCTGGCAGCCTTCATCTCTGGAAGTAGTAAGTCTTTCCCAGTGCACACTGCTCCTTTTTAGTTACTTGTGGGAGTAAAGTAGAATTACATTGAACTTTTTTGTCTTTCTCCTCCTTTGACTTAGTTCATTTTGATATGATTTTTAACTGTCATGGTGTTACGTAACTGTTGTTTTCTAAGCATGTTTTTAAAATATAGTTACTTTATACTTAATAAATATTGGCCTTCTTTTGACATATTAAATATAGTTTTTCGTTATAGTTGTGTCTTCTGTTTGTCAGGAGAGCACACAGTGAGTTTTTCCCATAGATTTGAAATCATAGATTTTGCTAGGTTTTAAGTATGTAAAATTTGACCTAAGACTTTTGTTACATACTGTTTTACACTCCATTAGAACACTGCCTCTAGAATGTAAGGAAAAGATTGGATTTCTTAGTTTTAGATCCTGATAATTCACTGGCCTAAATTGAGATTGTATTATTATGACTGAATCAAAAATCAGAGCCCCAGTCTTCTGATTGGTTTCCAAGAAGAACAAACACTACTGAGTTTGCTTTCTGCTTATGTGTAACCATGAGCTGTACTCTGTGAATCCCAGGGGCCCTCAGAGAACCAGTTTTATTTATAATCCACACATGGACACATTTGCAGGGAGAATTTTGTACCATAACGAATGTAGTTATATCAGTGAAGCTGGGTCTGTATATCATTAGAAGTTGAAAGTTTATTTCAATTTGAACTTTAATCCTTACTATGACAGATGACTAGTCTAATCTTTAAGTTGGTTTGAAGCTTTGCTGTCAAGTTTTCTATTAGCAAAAGAGAATTGCTTTAAGTAAAATGCTATTTAGCTTGATTCTCACTTGCCAGTCTTGCTTGATAGAAGGGCAATTAAGTTGTAAATGTTTACTGAGCACTTAAGAATTCCTAGGGGCTGGGGATTTAGCTCAGTGGCACCACTCCTGCCTCACAAGGTCCTGAGTTCATTTGATCCCCAGTACTGGGGAAAAAAAAAAAAAAAAAAAAAGAATTCCTAGAGGAATTCATCTATTTATTCAGAATTTACTTTTTGACTGAATGGCCACTGTCATGTTGTTGATTTTTTCTTCTTTTTTTGGAGTATTTGAAACACGAACTTTTAAAATTTTAAGAGATAACATGGAAAGTTTCAAACAAATGCTATCTTTTAAGTACTAAAATACTTAAAATGGAATACTACTCAGCCATAAAGAATGAGAAATTAGATTCATTCATAGGAAAATGGATACATATTGAGGATATACTCCTAAGTGAAATAAATACGTCACACAAGAAAAAACTGAATAATTTCTCTGGTGTGAAAAACAATAATAGCACATAAGATCCTAATGAGATAATTGACAATGTGAAATAGGAAGAAAATGTGAAATAGTGGGAAGGGTAGGGGAAAGCTAATAAGGGAAAAGAAAAATATGAGAAAATGAAAAATGGAAATAAAGTGTTTGTAAATGGGGAGAGGAGGGGGTAAAGGTAGAGCAGGGGTAAGGGGAAAAATAAGAACCAAGACCTGTCATGTAAAGGTACAGGATCCCAATAATGAATGTAACTGTACTGTATACCTAAAATGTACCAATAAACTCAATGAGAAAAAACAAATACTAAAAAACTGCATTGTTTGCCAAGAGGTGAAAAAAAATCTGTTTAAACCATTTATTCAAATTGGCGTGTTTTATTTCTTTTAATTAAAATAATTTGTAAGATCTGAGAGGCGGAGAGAATGGGTTTTCTAGTTATAGCTTCTTCATTTCTGCTCTGTGTCTGATCAGCTTCATGCTTTTTAAAGCTTGGCCTTTTTTAAAAAAAGTGTTTATGCACTAAAGGTAATGCTATATGATACCAAAAAGGCTCTGAAAAGCCTTTTGTGGATGAGTATTCCATTTTATTGGAACACATTTCCATAAGGCAGCCCCCACAACTAGACCAAATAATACTTAGTTATTAAGTAAACATTAGCTTTTCTTACTTTATCTTTTTCATCCTAAAAAAAATCAAATATTCTTGGAATTGCTTTTACCTTCATTGCAGCAGTGATGTTTAGGGTCAGAAATCCCTGCCTAGCAGGCCTTCCTAGGGAAATGACACAGGCAGTGTCCTAAGCCTGCATCTGTGTGATGGAGCACAGTGTCCCGACAGAGTGGGGTCTGCTCTCATCCTCAGTGTACTGAGATTGGCTTCTGTGAATGTTACCTTTGCCTTTGCACATGCTGTTTGCATTTTGTGTCCGGCAGTCCAAACCTAGAGAATTACAATCAAAGATTACTGAAAGTCCCAAGTCACTTTGTTGTTAAAGAATGCTGCGTCAACCTAGGACTTTGATATTAAAAGAGAAATACAGGCAAATGCTGATCAGAGATTAGAAGTTTTCAGTAGAGGTAACCTTTCTTATGAAATGTTTTGGGAATAGGGCTGAGTTTGAAATGCCATCTGTTTATTTGCATACAACTCCATATGGAAAAGATTCTTTATATATTAGTGCAAATAGTCAACTGAGAAAAAGTCATTGAAGTTTATGTATAAAAATAAAATGGTGAGTGCTGATCTTTCTCCTCTTACCACTTTGTTCTTGTTTTCAGTGAGTACCCTATTCAGAGGTCAAAGAAAGATCCCGAGGGAGTGGAGATGGGAGTTGCAGGTTCTGTCAGTCTTCTGCAGAATGTTACTCTGTCTACCCAGCCCATTTCAAGCTTGGACTGGAGTCCGGACAAAAGGGGGCTTTGCGTCTGTACTTCATTTGACCAGATGGTGAGAGTGCTGATTGTTACCAAACTCCAGACAATTTGACCTGAAGACTTTGGACTTGAAAATTTCCAGAGGGACACTTACAGAATTTAGGATATATTTTGGGGTCCTGTGACCTTCATTGAACGAAGTTAGATTTTGATGAACAAAGGCCCCAGACATAAACCTCGAGGCCAGTCTTTCTCCAGGTTATGTTTGGTGACCTGACTGGACATAGCCTGCTGCTGTGTATGATGAGACCATGTCTCTAGGACCAGCTGTTTTCCTCTACCCTCCATTTTAAATACAAAGTCAGGAGCCAGATGTAGTGGTGTAGACCTGTAGTTCCAGCTCTTCAGGAGACAGGATGGAGGATCCCACAAGTTTGAAAACAGGCTGGACAACTCAGTGAGACCCTGTATCAAAACGCATGCATACATACATATATACATACATACATACATACATATATACATACAATAAAATAAGCCAAAGTACATAGTTCTTGATATTTAAACATTTTAAATTTGTTCTCTATCCCCAGAGTTCCAAATTTTATCTTTACACTAATGTTGCATTTTAGTGTTTGTAATGTTGTGGTTGAAATCACTTCTTTTTATTTAGTTTGCCTTAGAAAAACTGTCAACCTTCATTAAAACATTTTGAGAGATTTCAGTGTAAGTTTCTGTTCAGATAATTATTTTATAAAGTACAAAAATGGCACTGTCAGACTGGATTTATGTAATTTTTAAGCGGTATAACTCAAAAAGAAATACCATGATTTAGAAAGAAATCTTTTGTACTTAAAATACAGGAGTTGGGCTGGGGATTTAGCCCAGTGGTTCTGCCACCTGCATCACTAGCACAAGGTCCTGAGTTCGATCCCTGGTCCCCCCCGCAAAAAAAAACCCAACTAAAATACAGGAGTTGAATTGGTGAAACGGTTGTTGACTGTAGTAAATGATGATGAGATGTAGAAGATTGTGGGATTTTGTAGCCTTATTTTTTTTTGTCTAACCTTAAAATATATTTTATAAATAAACTTATTTTTAAGTATGGAAACTTTGATTTTGTTAATTAACAGTTGTAATAAAGTGAACACCATCATTTCCTTTTTGCTTTATAGGTGCTGAAGAACCTCTTAGTTTCCCTTGTTTCTTTATTATGGCCTAAGCCTTGGCCGATGCCTTTAGCTGTGCTTTGGAGATCTCTACTCTTAGGCTTTCATTAAGTTTACTGTCCCTCACCTCCACTGAAGACGACTGAGCCACCTAAAACATCTGTAGTATATAAAACTTGTGTGATTTCAGGAGTTAATGGAGAGTCCATTTGTTTGAACTGTTAAGTGCAGAAAATTAATTTTTAGTTCCCAGTGGAACCTTTATCACTTAATGTTTATCTCAATTTTTGTGTGTGTATGTACTTAGGATGGAACTCTAGACCTCATGTATGCTAAGCACATAACCTCTGAGCTACACCTCCAGCCCCTGGATGTTTTTAGAAATATGTTTATATGGGTTTTTTTTGTTGTTTTTTTGTTACTGGGGATTGAACTCGGGTCCTTGTGCTTGCAAGGCAGGCCACTGAACCAATGAGCTAAATCCCCGGCGAAATATGTTTAGATGTAACTTTTTTATCATGATTTTTTCATCATCATTTCATTGTTTTATTCTCTTTTTTTTTTTTTTTTTTTTTTTTTTCTTTTTTCTTTCTGCTGTACTGGGAATCAAACCCCGGGCCTTCACACTAAGCTATATCCCCAGCCTTTTATTTTTTTATGTTGAGACAGAGTCTTGCTAAGTCTAGATTTGCCCAGTCTGGGGTCAAACTTGCAGTCTTCCTGGTTCAGCCTCCCAGAGTGCTGGGATTGCAGGTGTGTGCCACCCTACCTGGCTGTTGTATGCTCTTCAAAAAGAAAATAGATACAAAATTAATTTTATATGGTATACCTCATATATCTTTATATTTGGAGTCTGATCCTAAATCACATTTAAAATTTTATCTTTTCGTTTTTTTCTTCTAAATCACCTTGGTTCATTTTTTCTTACACTGTTATCCTCTATATGTAAAAAGTATTGGTGATGAGGCATTTCTATTACTTCACTATGGGGGTTTCTTTCAGTGAATTAATGTGTATTCTGCAAGTTTTGGTGCACAGACAGGCTGTGACAATTGTCATGGCCACTGCTTGGCTGACCTTGATTATTTTGGTTGTTTCTTACTGTGTGACGAACCACTGCAGAACTTCTGTCTTATAACAACACTCATTTATGCTGCTTAGGGAGCTCTCCGGGGAGAGGACAGGGATCTCCGGGGAGGCTCATTTATGCTCCAGGCAGCGTTAGGCAGGCAGAGCCATTGGTTCGGCTTCCAAGATGGCTCTTCACGGGTCTTACAGGGTGGGGCTGGCTGGCAGCAGTACCTTGGTCAGCTCCAGGTGCCTCACTTCCTCAAGCATAGTGACTGGATTCCAAGGGTGAGCACCTTGGGAAAAGGCTGGGCAGAAGCTACCATGTGTCATTTTCCATGTCTCGGCTTTATAATGCACTTTGCACCATTTCGCTAAATATTATTTGAAGCAATTGAAACCCTCTCCATTTCTAAAGTTCAAGGAGAGAAGATGCCCTAGTCACTTTTTTGCCACTGAGAGTTAATACCTGACACCCACATTTTAAAGGAGGAAAGGTTTATTTTAGCCCACAGTGTAGAGGATTCAGTCCACAGTGGATTGGCTCCAAGGCAGGACAGCACAGCAGAGGGGCATTGAGGAGGAGATCGGCTCATGGCCTTACTGGAAGGAGAGAACATCAAGGGAGGAGCCTGGGAGGACAGAAACCCAGGCCACACCCCCAGTGACCCATCTCTTCTGACCAGACTCCACCTCCTAGCATCAAACCAGCTATATCTTCTCTATAATACAGTCACCTTCCAGAGGTCCTTCCTGTGGTTGCCTGCAACAGGCTTTAGGGGGACATCTAGATATAAACCGTAACATAGTGCATAAATTGTACTTGAAGTCTTGCTTCAATTCAGGACAGCATTTGAACCTTAAAGTGCTCTGACTATCTTTTGCAAATACAGTCTAGAATAGTGATGATGTGATGCCTCCCAATTCGTGCTTGTTAGAACTGATAAAGTACATTACTTGGAATGCTTCTCACCGTCTGGCTCCGCTCCCCATCCTTCCCTGCCCCTAATCTGTGGCATATATGACTAATCAATCACAACACTCACTTTTCCTGAGGCTTGCAAGCTATCACACTCTAGTAGGAGCCACTACCAACTACAGGCAGGTGAGGTAGGCCTTACGCCAAGTCTAGAGAACGCTTCAGGTTGGAGGTCAGCCAACTTCTCAGACTAGAAGTCAATAGACAGCCCCTTCACTCCTATCCTTGGCTTTGTGTTTTCATTATCCCAACAAACGATGAGGTTCTTCCGCATTAGACTGGATAAAGCAAAGTGCCACAGGAACCAAAATGTGTATGTCATGAGTGATGGGCTCGCTAGATACCAAACTGCTTAGGTTTGTTAGGTGCACACTTGCGTTCGTGTCAACTTGTCTGAAGCGCTGTATAGTGTTTCTGAAGGCTTCCTGTGAGTGGAATTAGACACTCAGGCTGCCAATAGAGAGGCTCCTAGGGTATTGTGTAGATTTTTAGTGCAAGTTTGTTTCCATTTGCCTGTAGCACTAATTTATAGCCTTTGCTATCTGTAGCTGTAAAATATTGTGGGTTCTTGGACCTTCTGGACAATTGCTGCTTTGTAAACAATTTTTTTACCCCTTTGTTCACTAAGCATCCCCCAAGTAAAGTATGTAAGCTTTGGATATAAAACTACCTTGTGCAACTTTATTACAATCTGCAGTCAGGAGGAATGGGCAGTTTAAATACAAGTGGGAAGTTGGCTTTTAGCTATGTTTTTTTTTTTAATTGAGATTATTGGTACATTTTAGGCATGCAGTACAGTTACATTCATTATTGGGATCTTGTACCTTTACATGACAGGTCTTGGTTCTCATTTTTTCTCCCTTGTCACTGTCCTCCCTTCACCCCCTCCTCCCCTCCTCATCTACAAACACTTTATTTCCATATTTTCATTGTCTCATATTTTTTTCTTTTCCCTTATTACCTTTCCTCTACCCTTCCCTTTTTCCCTACACCTTTAGCCCAGTTTTCTTCCTATTTCACATGGTCAATTATCTCATTAGGATCTTATGCACTATTACAGCTTTTCACACCAGAGAAATTATTCGGTATTTACACATGTGTGACTTACTTATTTCACTTAGGAGTATATCATCAATATGTATCCATTTTCCTGTGAATGAATCTATTTTCTCGTTCTTTATGGCTGGGTAATATTCCATTTTATAGAAAAACCACATCTTCTTTATCCAGTTTCCAACTGGTGGGCAAATGGGCTGTTTCCATGTTTTAGCTATTACAAACTGTGCCACTATAAACATAGGTGTACATATATCACTGTGGTATGATTCTTTTAATTCTTTTGGAAAGATACCCAGCAGAGAGATGGCTGGGTCAAAAGTAACCTCTAGTCCCAGCTCTTTGAGGTATCTCCATATTGATTTCCATAGTGGTTGCACCAGTCCGCACTCCCACCAACAATGGAGAAGGGTTCCTTTCTCCCCACAACCCCACCAACATTTGTTATTGGTTGATTTCTTGATAGCAGCCATTCTTTGTGGGGTGAGGTGGAATCTCAGTGTTGTTTTCATCTGCATCTCTCAAATGACCAGTGATGTGGAACATTTTTTCATATATTTACTTGCTGCTTTTATTTCTTTGTCTGATAAATGTCTGTTCATTTCAGAGGCCAGTTTTTGAATCGGGTCTTTATATTTGGGGAGGGGATGATTGTTTTGAGTTCTTTATATATTCTAGATAGTAGTCCTTTGAGGAGCAGCTTGTAAAAATTTTTTCCCACATTGTAGGTTGTCTCTTAGTGATGGTTTCTTTTGCAGTGCAGAAGCTTTTTAATAAGATGAGATCCCAGTTGTTGATTCTTTCTGCTAGTTCCCGTGCTACTGAGGATTTGTTCATAAAGTCTTTTCCTGTGCCAGTGTCTTCAAGAGTTCTGCCTAACTTATCTTTCAGCAAGTTTAGGGTTTCTGTTTTAATATTTAGATCTTTAATCCACTTGGATTTAATTTAGTGCATGGTGAAAGATAAGGGTCTAGTTTTAATCTCTGGCAGGTTGAGATCCAGTTTTTCTGACACCATTTATTAAAGAGGCTAACTTTCCTTCAGTGGGGACAGTCAGCTCCTTTGTCAAAATGAGGTAGCTGAGTATATTTGGAGTTGTTTTTGTGTCTTCCAATCTGTTCCACTGATCCTTAGGTCTCTTTGCCAGTACCATTATGTTTTTATCACAGTGTCTTTGTAGTATAGTTGCAAATTGGGAATTGTTATACCCATTGCCATGTCTCTGTTGCCTAGGATGGCTTTTGCTATTCTAGGTCTCTTATGGTTCCAAATGAATTTTTGGATTCATTTTTCTAGCTCTGTGAAATATACTGTTGGAATTTCAATTGGGATTGCATTGAATCTGTATAGCAGTTTTGGTAGTGTGGCCATTTTCACTATGTTAATTCTTCCTACCCAGGAGCAGTGGATATCTTTCCAATTTCTTATATCCTCTTCGGTCTTTTTTCATAGTGCTGTAGTTTTCAGTGTAGAGGTCTTTTGCTTCTTTTGTTAGATCAATTCCTAGATGCTTCATTTTTTTGGGTGCTATTGTGAAAGGAATTGTTTCCCTAATTTCTCTCTCAGTGAGTCTGTTATTTGTGTACAAGAAGGCTATTGATTTTTGGGTGTTGACCTTATATCCAGCTACTCTGCTAAAAGTGTCGATTAAGTCTAGGAGTCTTTTGGTGGAGGTTTTTGGGTCTTCAATGTAGAGTATCATATCGTCAGCAAATGATGACAGTTTAACTTCTATCTTTATTGCTTTAATTTCTTTCTCTTGTTTAATTGCTATGGCTAATGATTTCAGAACTATATCAAAGAAGAG